AGGTGCAGGTCCTCCTCGTCACATCGCATCGGGGTGCGTCCTGTCAACATCACTCGCCACTCTTGGTGATGACCTTGGTCACCTGGCTAAGGTGTATGTCAGGCATCTCTGCTGTGCGGTGACTCTATTTCCTCCCTTCTGTCCCGTGGTCTTTGGAAGGAAGTCGCTCTGCACGGCCCATGCTTAGGGGTGGGAGTTTGCTCTGCCTCCTAGAGTGGGGAATAGCTCCATCAGTTATTTGGAATTCTTCTGCACAGGAGATTTGTCTCTTCTCCCTGTTTATTAGCTGATCATTTATTCGGCATGGATTTGTGGGTGCTTGTTTTATACTCTGGGCTATGACACAGCATGACGTTGTCTTGTGGCTCAGTTGTTCCAGCTTTGGCCAATGGGCCCTTTCAACACACCGTCCTGGGGGTGATGTGAGCACTTCCTTTCTGGTCCTACAAGATGCTCCAGGCTCATCTTGTGCTTTCCCTGCTCAGCCCTGGCATCAGCCACTTCCCCAGCAGCCCAGGTTCCTCCTATGGGACAGTGTATCAGATCAAGATCTGCCCGTGAGCGTGCTGGTTGCTGCTGGGGCGTCATTGCTTCTGGGCCCTCTCGGCTGACAGAGCGAGGAAACACAGGCATGAATGCTGACCCACATGTGTCTACACGGCTGTCAGTATGCCTACATGTAACCCCCGTGTCTGCATTATGTGACACGTGAGTTCACACTGATGACGATTTCTAATCTGGTCGCCCCATGGGTCATTCTCGTCTCTTCCCCTTGCTGATCCATACATGTCCATCCCCACTGCCTGCCGTGCATCTATTCGATCGTTCAATTCCAGTGTGCAGGGACAGTGGCCCCGCAGTTGTTACCCCACCTCTCGGGCAGTGGCGTCATTGCCCTGAGTGCAGCGTGCACAAGCAGCCCTTCTGTGGCACACAGCAGCCACATGCCCTGCAGAGGCTGGGCAGGGGTGCCACCTCCCTCAAATGGTTCTGTGACTTGGAGGGAGAGGAAAAGAAGAGACGGCTATAGGAGGACCGGGGACTTCCCTGCTGTGCTCAGTCATCCCGGCAGCGGGAAGGGCACAGAGTCGGGCATCCCTTTGAAATTTGAAAGTGGGGCTGACTTTGAACACATTCTGGTGGTCCGGCCTTGTCAGGCACGGGAGGAGAAAGGCCGCCATGGGACGCCTTGGAGCTCAGACGCATCTTGACTCAGATCCTGGCCTGGCCTATCTCTTCTCTGCCTCTGAACTGAGCACCTTAGCAGGGGGCAGCTTTTGAAATGTTCTGCAGAGCAGCGAAGGTGCGCCTCTTGCCTTTCGGTAAATGTCATCCATGCTAGGAATGCTTACGAAGTCTGTGTGGCTCAGGCCCTCAGGAGAAGTTCTGGAAAAAGATAGAACCGGCTCTGCCTGCACACCCACACCCATGGGTTCAGCTGTCCCTGTGCAGGGTGCTGTGTGTCTGATCTTGTGTCTCATCTGTGCTGGGCACCCAGCAACGCTGAGAGATGCCAGTGCCCACAGGGAGCCTATCGTTGGAGGGGGACCAGGTGGGAAGGTAGAGACAGGCCAGGACTGTGGGACAGGGAGGTGCCTGACCTGGGGGTCGGGGGTCAAGGAAGGCTCCATGGTGGGGGGGATGGGCACAGGACCCAGTTTGCAGGACCCAGAATGGGGAGGGGCCTGGCTGGGCAAGGCCTCAGCGACCATGCCTGCCCTCCCAGGGATGGGGCTCAGGCTGGTGTGGGGGGCCCATGAAGTCAGCTTGTTAAAGGTCAGCTTCTGTCCAAGGCTCCTAGAGACCCACTGGCGTGTGCCTGCAGCTCTTCAGGAAACAGCATGGGGACTCAGGCCACGTGTCGGGGTGTGGGTGACATGTGGCTCCCTATGCACCTCCTGCTGCATCTCCTGCAGGCCTTCAATTCCCTATTGTGGGTCTGGCATCTCTCACGACCCCCACATTTCTCCAGTCCTGTGGGGTGTGTCCAAGGAAGCTGGTGGAGCTGGCTTGGAGCTGACTAGGAGCAGGACCTGGCCAGCTCACCCAGCCTGGGCCCCAGAGCAGAGGCTCTGGCAGTGGGCTGCACTGGGCTGGGTGCTGCTGTTCTGTCCTGCGTGGCCCTTCTTGGGAGTGAGGCTTAGGGGCAGGTCTTCCCATACTGTAGGGGCCAGGCAGCTGTGGTCCTGTTGGCCGGGTCTCCCTATTTACTCTGGATCCTCCCACCCCCTGCCATCGTATGCCCCCATCCCCTGTCCTATCTGGGCCACATTAGCTTCCTCCTGCTTTCTGGGTTGAAATTTTGGGCCTGTCCTATCCTGTGCTATGAAGCATTTGCAGGGTGATGCTGGCCTGGGGATGCTCTGTCCTCTTCTCTGGTTGCAGAGCCCTGGCACAACTGGAATCATCGTGGGGTCCCAGCTTCGCAGGGCGGCTGCCTGGTGACTCCTGCTGGGGCATGTGGAGGGGGAGCCCCTGCCTGTCTGCTGGGAGAGCAGCACCAGTGAACCTGGCTTGACCAGCCAAGGCCAGTATGGTCTGTGGTCCTCCTGCGCTATAGCGAAGGGGGAGGAAACTGAGGCCCTGCTGCTCCGAGGGCACGTGGGATCCGGATCCACAGAGACGGGAAGATGCCTCCCAGCCTTGGCCCCTGGGGTGGGAAGTTTGGCATTTAAAACTCTGAAGCAACTAGAGATGTTAAAAACACACACTTGTAAACTTTCAATGTCAAAATCCAGACTGTCACACTCTGGGAGAACCAGACCGTGACTGACTGCCCGGGAGCTGCCACAGAGCAGGGGCTGTGTGTTTTCTTGTCCCTTCTGCTCCTGGTCGCTCTGTTTTACACGGAATTCTGATGTAGTTTGGCTCTTGCCCTGGAGGAGCTCAGCCTGGGTACCAGTGGATCCAGTGAGTCTCTGCTGGGTTGTGATGCGCCGGTGGCAGGGGAGGGGCCCCTGAGCCAGGGAGGAAGGTGCTCGTGTGTCTCCGGCCGCTGCTGCGAAGGCAGTGAGGTGCGTGCATCATTTCTCAAGTCCTCGGTGGGAGAAGTGAAACCGCCAGGTCTAATGCGTGGGGGCGGGGAGAGGCGGGGCTGAGGCTGTGCCATGTGCTCCTTCCAGAGCCCCCTAGATGTGACCTTTGGGGCCCTGTGTGGCTCAGTGCCCAGTTTTTGTGTATAGAGACTGGTTTCTACAGCCCCTCTTGTGTTTGATCCAGGGGCCGATGGAAAAATGAGGAGGATCCATGTCACGTGTCACCCCCCAGCAGTGGGCCAGACAGGCCGCCAGGGACCAGCAGGTGGGCTGGGTGGGGGGTCAGCGATGGCACCTCACAGGGCCCTGTCCTGTCCTCTGGTGCTGGAAGAGCAGAGAGCAGGCACGCTCAGCAGATCTCGGATCAGGAAGGAAGGTGACGTGTCGTTTAACAGCCACTGCTGAAGGATGTGGAAGATGTGTGAATCACTTCAGAAGTATTCCATCAGAAAGTCACAACAGGGTGTGAGCCTGTTGGGGAGCGAGGGGGGCGTGCAGAGCCCACGGAGCTGGACCTGGAGGTAGAAGTTACAGGAGTGGAGTGTGCTAGCGGTCACGGCCGGTCCTTAGAGCCCCCTGCCCGGGGTGGAGGCGCACTGTGCGGTAGCCGGTAGCCGCCGCCGAGCCGTTCTGGGGGAGAGGAAGTGAGCTGGGGCTGTGAGGCGACCAGGGGTCTGGGGCGGGGCTGCTGGAGGACGGCGCTGAGGATGGGGAGGGAAGGTGCGGAGGGGGCCTTCCTGCCCCTGCCTGCTCGCCTGGGTCTGCCTGAGGGGCACGCCTGTGCTGGGAGCCTCACCCACCGCACAGGATCGGCGGCAAAAGCCCTGGGGGGTGAGGAGGTCAGGGCCTGGTGGGTGGAGCCGAGGGGGTGGCAGTGGGTGGCGTCGAGCTGGGAACCACCAGGGTGTGGTGGGCAGGTCACAGTGGGCCCAAGCTGACGTGTCAAACTGTGACTCTGCTGGCGGAATGGGGTGCCGGGAGGGAGGCAGGGAGCCCAGGCCGCATAGTCCTGGTGAGTGCCCAGCAGGGGAGGAGCCTGTGTGCTAACGGGTAGCAGAGCCAAGGTCAGCTGGCACTTCTGTCCCTGGTCTGTCTGTCCATTGTTCATTGTCTTGTTGGGTGAGAAGCACCCCGAGGGCAAGGGCGAAGGGCCTTAGGCTTCCTAGGGGCTGATGTCGCCCTGTGTTCACAGGGTGGGGGGCAGTAGGCCCAGCTGGCACTCAGGAGGACCCCAGGGGCAGGGCCTTGTTCATCCTGATGTCTGCAGGGTGGGCCAGGAGGGTACGGAGGCAGGAGAAGGGGAATCGTGGCCTCTAACCAACTGCTGTCTGGGCCTTCAGAAGCCCCCGCTCCTGACCTCTGGTGGGACTTAGGCTGCCGCTATGTTTGGAGCGTTGGTGCTCTGAAAGTGCCCCTGCGGGGAGGCCTGGGTGGCAGGCGCACTCAGAGTGGCCTTTCCTCTGTCATCCTTTTGGGCCTACGCCAGGTGCCCCAACCCCCTCCCCCTGCCTTCTGCTACCTTCTGTGGGGTCCTTAGGTTTCCTCAAGCTCCACATCACCAGGGGCCAGACCGTGACCATCCCACAAGGAGTAGGGAAAGCACAGGAACATTGGGCTTGGACAAGGCCGGGCAGAGCCTGGCGTGCTTGAGTGGCTGGAGCCAAAGCCCTTCTTCACACCAGGTCCTGTGGGGTCTGGGGCTGGTGACCCAGCCTCTCCCAGCCTCCCTTTCCCTCCCTTCCAAAGCGAGGTGTTGAGGGCAGGGTTCTCACGAGCATTTGAGATGTCCTGTGTAAAGTGCTGATCCTGTCGGTGACCACAGCTAGTAACCATCGTGCTGGGTAGAGGGCTGGGGACACAGCAGCTGCTTCGGCAGTGCCCATCAGTGGCGGCACCGGGTGGAGGGGCGCTGCTGGGTGGAGCAAGACCCTCCCAGACCTTGTCCGGGTGTCCTTGTCCCTCCAGTCGCTGCTGTCTTCCTGAGAGCCCTGGAGCCTCGTTAAAGGAAGCAAGTCCTGAATGTGCAGGAGCCCTGGACGTGGGGCGAGCCCTGGACATGGGGGGATCCCTGGGTGTGGGGGGAGCCCTGGACGTGGGGGGAGACCTGAGTGTGGGGGGAGCCCTGGGTGTGGAGGCAGCCCTGGATGTGGGGGGAGCCCTGGACGTGGGGGGTGCCCTGGGTGTCAGGGGGAGCCCTGGACGTGGGGGGGGCCCTGGGTGTTGGGGGGAGCCCTGGATGTGGGGGGAGCCCTGGGTATGGAGGGAGCCCTGGATGTGGGGGGAGCCCTGGGTATGGAGGGAGCCCTGGATGTGGGGGGAGCCCTGGGTATGGAGGGAGCCCTGGATGTGGGGGGAGCCCTGGGTATGGAGGGAGCCCTGGATGTGGGGGGAGCCCTGGGTATGGAGGGAGCCCTGGATGTGGGGGGAGCCCTGGGTATGGAGGGAGCCCTGGATGTGGGGGGAGCCCTGGGTATGGAGGGAGCCCTGGATGTGGGGGGAGCCCTGGGTATGGAGGGAGCCCTGGATGTGGGGGGAGCCCTGGGTATGGAGGGAGCCCTGGATGTGGGGGGAGCCCTGGGTATGGAGGGAGCCCTGGATGTGGGGGGAGCCCTGGGTATGGAGGGAGCCCTGGATGTGGGGGGAGCCCTGGGTATGGAGGGAGCCCTGGATGTGGGGGGAGCCCTGGGTATGGAGGGAGCCCTGGATGTGGGGGGAGCCCTGGGTATGGAGGGAGCCCTGGATGTGGGGGGAGCCCTGGATGTGGGGGGAGCCCTGGGTCTTGGGGACTCTGCTTCACGTGGCCCAAGGGTGGACAGTGTGGTGGGGGCTGGGCTGGTTGGGGACTCTGGGAGGGCTGCGTGGGTGGTTCTGCTGTCTGCACACCTGCTGGGGGCCTGGGGATATGCGGGGGTGGCTTCTTGGCCCACAGTGACCCCGGAAGGGGCCACATCATCCACACTTTGCAGATGAGTAGGTTGGCATCTGTGAGGTCCCAGCTTGGTTGTCAGCAGGGCCCATGTCCTTGTTGTCATCCCCGGCCTACTCTTTTCGGTATATTTAAGTAGCTTAAAAGATGGGTGCTGCCCTTCTTGCGCTTGCTGACTCTTGGGCCTCGTGGGGTGGGCCCTTAACTCTTCTCACACGGCCTGCTCCTCAGGTTTCTAGGTGACCCACCCTGCCCACTCAGTGTGCACCCCTGGGGCCGCCCCAGCAGCCTGGCCGCTTCCGCCGCCCTCTGCCTCTTAGAGAGGCCTCCCGGAAGCACCCTTTCTAAGGCTGCACGTGGTCAGAGTCCCCACCCAAGACCCTCAACCAGCTCCTCCCCCAGGATGCCCTGTGCTCCCTCCCCCATGACCCTTGTGGCCAGCTGGCACATGATGCCTGTGCTGATGGGGGAGACCCATTGTCTCTTGTAATTTCCTGGATGTCCTTGAAGAATGGGTCACACCCCCTGGTAAGACTGGCCCAGAGAGGGGAAGCACCTTCCCCGAGGCCACACAGCAAGAGAGCCGTGAGGCCAGGCAATTCCACAGCCCAGTGACATCCCACCCGCTGCTGACTTGGGAGGCTGGAGACCTGCACCTCGTGTCTACACTATACACTGGGCAGCCTGAATGGGCTCATCCGCTGGGAGTCTGGCTGTGGCGTCTCTGATGGGCTACGCTGCCCTTGGCCATGATTCTTCCTGGTGGGAGGGTTTGATCGAGAAGTCAGGAGAAGGTGGAGGGTGGTCAGGGGAGTGGTGTCTCGATGCCTTTCCACCTGCTGTCTTGTTTCTACCTGACTGACCAACCCAGCGAGGCTCCCACCCCTCCCCTTGTCCCCAGCCTGTGGCTGAGGGGCTGGCGGGGCCATCGAGGTCACCACAGCATGTCTGAGGAGAACTGGTTGATGCCGGTCACCCCAGTCCAAGTCCTGTGCGGGGCCACAGGGGCTGGGGCCAGGTGGTGCAGCAGGTGGGGTGCAGTCACTGCAGAGCCGTGTTCCCCAGGCTGCCAAGGGAATGGGGCTGACTTCCACTGCCCCCGCCCCAGCTGGCTTAATTGACAAATAAGCATGGTTCCTCCAAGTCAGGCGAGTGTGTATTTTGTAATAATTGACTACTTAATTGTATGATTAGACATCGTGAAGTGAGCTGTTTGCATGAGTCATGATGAGAAGGCTACACGGAGCTGGCTCTGCACTCGCCTGTGCACGGCTGGGACGGCTTTGTTCAGTGTCCCTCCTGAGTGTGTTCACCGTGCAGGCTGCATCTGGCCACGGAGGAGCCACAGTCTTTCCCACCTGCAGGAGCAGGATTCCCGTCCCGAGAGTCTGTGAATTCTGTGGCTCAGGTTCACAGACACCAGTCCTGTGACTGGCATAAGAAAACTCTAGTGTCAAGCGGGTTTCTGGGCCGGACTCACAGCCCGCTCTTCCAGGACGTGGCCGGCATCGTGGAGGGCAGTGCTGGCCTCCTGCCTCACTGCTGGGTCTTCTGCAGAGAGAGGTGGACTCTGTGTGTTGAGTTGAGAGAATTTTGGCAATAAAAAGAGCCTATTATGACCTATTTATAAAGTATTTCAGAATCACTTACATGAATATTTTGTCCTAAATTTTGTATAATTAGAAGATAAAAACCCCACTCCGGGATTATTTTTGTTCACCAACATAACCTAAATTAGAACTCTCTCCATGTGGGTTTTCAAAAAAGAAAGCATTTGAACCAAAACATAAAAGGAATTGATTTCATCTGCACTGCTCTCAGACACTTGAGAGTGACGCGCTTGCTTTGGGGGGCAGACACCTTCTGTCGTCTGGTTGATGAGCAGACCTTCTCCCAGCGTGACGCCTGCAAGTCTACGCAGCTGGATGAGCAAAAGTGGTTTGTTGCAAACGCTCCCCATGCCTCTTACCTGCTGGGCTGCCACACGGAGGGCAGTTGATGAATCCCAGGCAGTGCCCGCTGAGGAGGTGCCAGTGGAGGGCGGGCAGAGGTGGCCCATGTTGCCTGGTTTGGCTGCCTTTCTAGCAGGGAGTGTGGCACTGGGCAGCCTTTTAAGAGGGGAGACTTGCGGCCTGAATAGTTTTCTTCCTTTTTTCATGTTTTGGACCTTGGTGCTTAGGATGGGATAAACTGTTGCCTGTGGGTCACAACATGCTGCCGTCACTGGTCAGTGTGTGGACCTCTTCTGTCCATTTGTTTAGTTCTTTTTCATGGGCACCCTTGAGCTCACCATCAGAACAAAAGCCAGGGCCTTGGTGACACCCACTGTCAAACCAGACCTGTCCCAGCCAACCCCCTCCCCAGGGCTCCAGCTCCCCACGTCCTGTGTTCTCCTTTCCCGGGGCCACCTTCTCTGGCCCAATGCCACACTGCTTTACCTTCTGCAGCCGCCCCCACGGGACCTGACACCTGCCCGGTGGACCCCTCCTCTGGCTCCTCGTCTGTAGAAGGACTGGTGGAAGTCGCCTGGGCAGACCGGGCGGGGCAGGAGACGATACAGAACATTCTAGGCCAGGGCAGCCATGAAAGCATAGGTCTGAGGGATCGGGATGCTTGGGGTGTGACAGGCATGGTGAGAGGCTGATGGCTGGATGAGAGCTGGGGCAGAGGAAAGGGCGTTCCCCGTGGATGGCAGGGACCTAGTATGGGGGGATTAACCCCAGAGAGGGCAGGAGTTTTGGGAAGTTTCAGGTGCAGAGCTGTCCAGGAGGTAAAGAAGAGCTTGGACTCAGGAGAGTTGGCTCAAGCAGGGGACAGGAGGTCTGGGCTGCAGGTGGAGGCTGGGGTGTCCTAGGAGGGAAGGGGAAGGTTGGCCCAGAACCCCAGGGGTGTAAGGGGCAGCACAGGGGGACCAAGTGGGAGAGGTCCTGCCTTGCACTCCTGCCGGCACTGATTTGTCATCTGTGGTCTGCTGTGTCCACAGCTGGCAACAGTCTGTTTCTGCTGCTTGAAGTAAAGTGCTAAGTCCACACAGTNTGTCCACAGCTGGCAACAGTCTGTTTCTGCTGCTTGAAGTAAAGTGCTAAGTCCACACAGTGTTTATTGTAGCCCCTCCTGTAGACAGCATGGTCCAGCCGTGAGGCAGAGCAGTGGGGGAGCGGGCTTCTGGGACCCCTCCCAGCACAGGCCTGCAGGCCGGAGAAGTGCCCCCTGGTCTAGAGACACTCGGGGCCTGGCAGTGCGGCGGGGGCAGGTCTTGCAAGAGTGTTTCCTGACGCCATTGGGTAGGGCTCAGAAGACAGCACAGGGGGACCAAGTGGGAGAGGTCCTGCCTTGCACTCCTGCCGGCACTGATTTGTCATCTGTGGTCTGCTGTGTCCACAGCTGGCAACAGTCTGTTTCTGCTGCTTGAAGTAAAGTGCTAAGTCCACACAGTATTTATTGTAGCCCCTCCTGTAGACAGCATGGTCCAGCCGTGAGGCAGAGCAGTGGGGGAGCGGGCTTCTGGGACCCCTCCTAGCACAGGCCTGCAGGCCGGAGAAGTGCCCCCTGGTCTAGAGACACTCAGGGCCTGGCAGTGCGGCGGGGGCAGGTCTTGCAAGAGTGTTTCCTGACGCCATTGGGTAGGGCTCAGAAGTGGACTGTAGATAGCAGCCAAGTGACACAAGACTTGCAGGAGAACCTATTGCAACAGGCCTCACCACTTCTGGTTTCCAGAACAATCTAAGAGGTAATGTGGGGGAGATTGGCCATCAGGACAGGTTTTTAATTTGCCTGCTTTTGGAGGTAGTGCCTCTTCTGTCCTTGGTTTCTGGTTGTAAATCTCCTGTTAATGCCACAGGAAGGGTCCCTCACCCATGGGGCCCTCAGCCTGTAGCCCCTGGGCCTGGCTGTGC